CTCCTTCGGTCTCGTTCGTCGCTGATATGTGATACTATACCTGAGGAAGTAAACTGATTGACTAGGTCGAGTGAATTATCTGGTCAATCAGAACTAGAGGGGAACAGGTGGTAGTCGGGTGTCATCAACACAAAATTAAGAGCCTCGATTGAGAAGACAACCTAAGAGGTTCAACATGACAACAACAAGTCGAGCTAGGGCACTCGGTTGGCCTGATAGAAACTCGACCTGTAGGTAAGGTTGGTCATAGGATCGACCAAAGGAAGCTACATTCAACCCAGAGCAGTCGGAGCTCTAACTCAACAGATTTCGACCTGAGTACGCAACCATGTGGTCTAATCACGAAGGATCAAAGGGTAAAAAGAAATCTTATGATAATTAATACCCCAGATGGAGAACGAACACATGGTACCACCTGATTGGTCCACGCCTCATAACCGCTCTGACATTCTGAGCAGAAAGGTTGTACTATCGGGAAGCTCGGGCAGCCGGCTCATCACATTCGGGAACCTTCTAGAAACAGGTACCTCAACCTTATAAATAGGAGCGATATGTGTTATTTCAACCATTACATTCATTTTTACTCTACTTTCTCTGCAACGCAGGACTCTTTCCGTTAATGATACTTTGGCTAAAGGTATGGTTCATAATTATTATGGAGATAAATCATATTCTACACATTCATTTAAGCATCGGAGACACTTCACAGGAAACCCCCTCTGGTGTGAGTTTTTACAGGTCTCAAGGAGTTCAACCGGCGAGGAAGCACGTGAGCGAGCTGATTCTAACCGGTCATAAGTCTTTGCATACCAACCACCGAGAAACGATCTCCTTCATCGTATCGTTCTACTTATCGACGAGGGATTTGGAGGAGAGTTCAAGCTTTGATTTGGGGATTTTCGGCGTGGAGGTAGGGTGAGGAGGACAACTTGGTGGCGGTGGACGACAAAGGCAGAGAAGGCAAGTCTTCCGGTGACTTCATTTTGGGCTGCCATAGACAACGCAATGAAATACCACTCCTCGGAGAAACTTTCGTTGTTGCAGCATGCCAAGATGAATTCTCTTGTTTCTGTCGGATATTGTTGTGAATTTGTGATAGTTGTGATTGTCGGAAGTCTAGTGTGGTACAGCCTTCAGGATGATTGTTGTTGTATATTTGGATAAGAAAGATGCACAGAGCTGTCAACACTATACGAGACGTATTTTTCTTGCGGGAAGAAATCTTTTCACATTGTCTTTAATCTTTCTATTTAACATTACAAAAATTTTATGGAGTCATCGGATGGTTTTCTTATGGAGCTATCCACCACTTAATGTATTGACACTTGTCCAAATTGTATTTATTGCAGGACACGTGTCAATACACTATTGGTGAATAAGTGTTGATGGCTCCATAAGTCGAGTCATCCGATGACTCCATAGCAAAACTATTTAACATTATAGTTTGTTTTTTCTATTTTTAGTTTTTCTGAAAGAACTGAACACTTCAGTTTATGGGTTTCTCATGTACTCAATATTCTGTTCTAACAAATTCATCATTCGCAAAAGCGTTGTATTTTGGTCAAAACTTCTAAAAAAATACATATTAGAAAGCTATACCTAAAAACATTTTTTCTCACGAGGGAATTGAAATTACTAAAAACCTGGTACATTAATGACAAAAGAAAAGCATACATGGTTACATAATTCAGTACATTAATTATATAGGTAATCAATAAAATAAGTTCTCCTAACTAGATTTAGCTTGTAGGTGATTTACTCGACGATTTTAGCTGTTTTATAATATATACTTTGTACATTGTGTTGTTATTTATAAAGTATATTCTTCTTAGAAAAATAATAAAAAGGTTCTCTCTTTAATACATCCAATCTAAGACGATGACGTGTACAAGGAGGATTTGATCAAAATGCAAAAATATAACGAAGGTGCAACTTTGTTAAATACATGTCAAATACAATAATAATAATTTAGAGCTGTCCCTGTTACGTTATCATTAAAACAATTTTATTAGAAGGCATTTTATAAAAAGCAAAAGCAATCTATAGCATTTTATATCATTTTATAATAATTGGCAAATTGCGGCTAATATCATGACATTTATCGAGATTGCAAATTAATCACAACATTTTAACTTTTGCATAATATATCACGCCCTTCAATTCTTTACAAAACGATACACGGTTTTCATCTGCTGCCCCAACTCGTCTGACGTGACACTCAAAAATGCCAACGCACCTGCTGATGTGTATTTAACAGACAATTCTTTTTTGGCAAAATTGCGGCTAATATCATGACTTTTACCGAGATTGCAAATTAATCACAACCTTGTAACTTTTTGCATAATATATCACGCCCTTCAATTCTTTGCAAAACGATACACTGGTTTCATATGCTGCCCCAACTCGTCTGACGTGGCACTCAAAATGCCAACGCACCTACTGATGTATATTTAACAGACGATTTTTTTTTCCATCTCATCCCTGGACGAGATGAGGGGGAGATTTTGGAACCGTTGGGGGATATATTAAGCTTTGGCTGGAGAGAAAACAGATTATTGAGACTTTTATCTTTTATCTTGTCATCTCAAAACTCATTCTCTCAACAACTTTCACTTGGTTTTCTTTGGATTTTGCTTGGATTCGAGTTTCGGAGATTGTGGCACTCCATAACGAACACGATTTGGTTTGTATTTCGATTTCATTCTCGACTTGGATTAATAGCAATTTCCTTTCATTTGATTATGGATGTGATTTGTTATGTTGAATCTGTTGTTGGGATTGATATCAATATGTGTGGCTAAATCGCTTCGTTAGGGATAGGGGATATTTGTTTTGGTTCGATTAAGATTCATGTGTGCGTGTTTGCCGTTCAATCTATTTGAGTTGTGCTTAATCTAGGGTTAGATGTTTGATCATCATTCTAATCTAATTAATCATTTTGTAGAACCGGAAGGGGAGAAATTGATTGATCTCGGCTCGTTTAGAATAGGCTTGTTCGTTAATGTATTGTCTATGTGTTAATTGTTCGATAATTGATCGTTCATGTTTGTTCTCTTGTTACGAAGAGTTATTAAGAACAAGCCTCTAAACGAGTATGTTATTTGATATCTTAACTGAGCGGTTGTGTGCTAATTGATTTCTTGAGAACCATAAACGAATATCTCCGACTCCCTAACTCACCAGTCATTATTTGAACTCTATTTGAAATTTGAAGTGTGTCTTGCTTTATTTTTAAAATTTGTAGTTGATAATCAAAACCAAAAACAATTGAATTAGAGTGTTTAGGATTTGTTTTCTCTTTCCGTGTGATTGAATACACGTGCAAAGTAATCCGACTAACCTTCCTTGAGAGACAACCCGATGTTTTAATACACGTGCAACACTATGTATCGTTTTGCAAAGAATTGAAGGGCGTGATATATTATGCAAAAAGTTAAAAGGTTTTGATTAATTTGCAATCTCGATAAAGGTCATGATATTAGTCGCAATTTTGTCAAAAAAAAAATTGTCTGTTAAATACACATCAGCAGGTGCGTTGGCATTTTTGAGTGCCACGTCAGACGAGTTGGGGCAGCAGATGAAAACCGTGTATCGTTTTACAAAAAATTGAAAGGCGTGATATATTATGCAAAAATTAAAAAGGTTGTGATTAATTTGTAATCTCGATAAAAATCATGATATTAGCCGCAATTTTGCCTTAATTTTATGACATTCTGATTAGTGCCTGGGGACAATATTAATATAATATCATTACAACAAAAACACGTCACATATCTTTAAAAAGGCGAAAAGGAGAAAAAATGAAGGAGGAAATTAAATTCTAGAAATTTCCACAACACAACTAAGATTTCAATAATTGAATTGAAGGTATTAAGCGCCTTTAAGGAAATGGGTAAAATTAATACATAGCTTATGTTAATTGTATATGTACTATATAATTAAGAAGTCAATAACTTTGTATATTTTACAATTACATGAATACATAAATAACCATTTTTATAATAGTAAAGTAACCAATGATAAATTGGTATTTTATAGGATTTTTATCTATGGTTACTAATCCAACACTCTCACGTACGATCAACTATTTCGAATATGTTCCTTTTCATTTGATTTGAGCTCCCTAAACGAAAGGTGCTACTGAAAAAAATAGAAAGCATAATTCTTTGTCCTTTTTTTTAAAAAAAAAAAAGAAAAGAAAAAAGATAACACAATAATTAAATTTCAATGTGACCACATATTCTAAAGTTTCATTATTCGCATGAAACCACTTTTTTTTTTT